TGAAAAAACACCCAGCCCTGCAGCCTTAAAGAAACACCCTGTTCTTTAAGAGTAAAATTCAATTTATTGCTCTGATGACATTTGTGCATTTCTTCATTAGCTTTCACAACATAGAGTCACTGTAAACTGGACAGAGTTTCAGAAGACAGGTTTGTATTTGCATCAAGCAAAGAAGTTTACCAATCTCTCAGCCTAACCTACCTCACAAACTTCTTGTAAGGATAACATGAACATTCTAGCTAAACTTGGTTCATAAATCACGTTAAACCTTAGTCTGCTTTCGCACTGGTTTGCTAAACAAGGCACAGTGATTTGATTTATCCATATTGTTGCCAAGAAAACTGCATATATGTGTCAGTTGTGTCACCAAGAGTTGAGTGACTGAAAAGAAACATTACCTTTTAAGCCATAAAGCATGGTTTATAAACTACAATGCCTGGTTGCTACATCAAGCTAAGCCAAAAATAAACATAAGCATAAACTATGAACCCAGCCAGTGGATCCTGCCATAAGCCATCTGGAGGAAAGCTGAGATATGCGTGCAGGAGGTGCTCTGAACCCTTGGAAGAAACGCACGCTTTTCGGTAGTTCTCAGGAAACTCAATTTCTCAGCAGTGATGAATCCATGGCTTTGGTCAAAATAAAACTAATTGGATTAAGACTCAGACTCCCGCTTGATACTTCTTGCTCTCAACTGGAAAGCATTGTTTCAGTTAATTATTAATGAATGTAGTGAAGGTTATGATACTAACAGGCAGACAACCCAACCAACTGTTCTGATAGATGCAGTAGAGCAAATGTTAAGCCCATTGTGGAAACAGGGATCTTGTCTGGTCCTGCTATGCAAGGTGAAGAAAGGATTCCTCTCCATCCAGAAATGCTTTTTTGGCAAGGACAGGGATGGAGCACAAAAGTATGAATACACAAGCACCCTTGCAAGTTGATTATCTTGGGGGGTAAGGAAGCACCAGTCTTCCAGATGATGAACCAACTCTCAGCACATCACACCATTGATCTTGCTGCTCAGACTGCTGAAAGTTGGAATTCAGCAACATCTGGAGGGCTTCAGAATCCCCCCTCACCTATATAATGTTTCAGATAATTTAACAAGTAGGATTGGCAGTAAAATGTTACAGTATGGAATGCTGCAGCCAACCCTCCCTTTTTCCAAGTTGCTTTATTCTAATTTGCCATCTTTTGTTTTCTGTCTGAATGTACAATTTCATCCCCAACCCAATTTTTTGGAGCCTGGAGGTTTCCTTAAACCTGTCAATCCCTTCCCCCATGTTATGTAGTTGGTTCTTTTTTGATTGCATAATGATTCACACTCTGAGCATGGGTGCAATTAATGTTTATATATTGACATTTTAGTCAATTGTTCATTGTTAAAAATTCAGAATCATACTTTATTTGCTACCATCAAAATTTCAATCTGGTTGGAATTTATACCTTGCCTTTCAATAAGATTTGAGGTTACAAGATATGCATATTGCAAGCACACCAACTGCACATATAATTTTCCAATGATGATTGAGCATCAGTTAGGAAAAGATGACCACGTAATGTCTGTGTTCAGATACCACACTGCCATAATGTGGTTGGTTTGACTTTGACTTAGTGTGTTGTGTGAACACAGCCACTGTGTTTGTTAACTACAGGTATGGTTTAACATGCTAAGTAAACTCAACTTTGTGATTTATTCAACAAACCATGGTCAAGCACTGATGGCTTTGCTTAGTGCAATATATAAACCAAGTCTATAAGAAAAACCATACACAAGCATATTCAAGAGATTGCAGACACAAACAAATGAATGTCAACACCTGTACCATTTCACAAATTCATATCCTAATTTCCTTTTCCAAAGACAACTAGTTCCAAATGCCATTTATAATACTTATGCATTTTCATGCAAACTATAGGTTGGCCCCCTTCCTAAATGGAAGGTGGCTCCTTTCACATACAGTAAAAGAAAACAGGCAGCAAATGTCCTCTTTACAATGAGTCAGCTGAGATGAAATACCATTTTTGCTCCACCCTTCCTTCCAGTAAAGAATAACCAATTTAACATTCCCTGGAGGATATGTGCTTGTTTTCCACATTCCTTCTCATTCTTTTCACATCACATCATCTGTCAGGGATATAGGATGACATCTTATACTATAAATCCCATACAGTTGCCTAAATTCCCCCAGGCATTGTGGGAGGGATGTTAGTTTGGGAGTTCTAGCATGGGTGTGTCTGTCCAGTGGTTTGTGCTTCTACTGAACATTGATGCAGTTTTGGTTAATCTTTGTTTTAATGTTATTCTATTTTTGTTTGCTTACTGCCCGGAGTTGTTCTTGGATAGGTGGATGGCCATTTTTATTATTATTATTATTATTATTATTATTATTATTATTATTATTATTATACGGACTCACCAATTTGATAACCTACATTCTGTAGCTGCAGGCAAAAACTGGGTGGGTTTTCACATAATTCTAAACCATAATTTTTCAATGATGGTTAACTGAACAAGCCATAATCATCTGAGTTCACATATTATTCTAAGCCATGTACCACAATGGCTTAGTGTAGTGTGTAATATTGTATACCTATAACCACCTCAAACCCCAATACCGTATGCACATGTATCGCACCAAGCATCAAACAAACCACATTACTGAGTCTTAGTGTCTTGTGTGAACCATTTGTCTTATATTTTTATCTCTGTATATTATTTGGAAAATGTTGCAGTTTTCATAAGCAGATACATACGAGTTCCTCCCGTTATCTATAAACATGCACACTGATGTTCACAAAGATCCTATTATGAATTTTGAAGAACAGCATTCCAGATGAGCCCTCTTGAGCAGATGGGTAACTGGAGACCCTTGGGAGTTCTTGTTTGCAATTCTGCAGGCGATGGGTAGGAGGCAATGCGTACAGTAACTGGTTATTTGTGTCGCCCAGATACAATGGCTTTGGGTAAATAAGAAATAAGCAGTATCAATTCCCATTAAAACAGATTCAGAGCAGACACAAAGTCTATCTGAAAGCTAAACCAGCAACAAAAAGATAAGCAGAGTGATCACCGGAAGAATAGCCAGAGATAGAAAAGGCATAACAATTTATCAGCGGTACCGCCGGCTACACTGCTTCTTCGAGTGAGCACTTTTAGCGCCTGTACAAAAAGCAGACATTCAGCAGGGGACACTTCTAAGGAGACAAATACAGTTGGATCAATTCTGGGTTTATGGAAACACACACGTGCGCACGGCCCTGCCAAGCATGTCAAGTCGCAGGGCAACAACTCCGAAGAGCTCTCCACAACCACAGGTACACATCGCGGGTTGCAATCCATGAAGCCTTTAAGTCTGGGACAATTTCGTTTTTTTCCTTCAAAGGGCAGTTGGTGGCAGGGAGGTAAACAGCCACCGCTACCGAGCCAAACCTAGGCGCGGCTGGCTCTCCCACCCAATTTAGCTCACAGGGCTCCGCCTGTCTGCGCCCAGCCAGGGCAGCGCAGGGAGCGGCTCACGTCACGCTCGTTCAGATGTGCGCGCACATGGCACAAAAGCAGACGAAGGCCTCGGCACGCGCTCAGCCGCGCCCAAAGGCTCTGAGCAGAGCGGGGCAACAAAAACCGGCCGATTTTTAACAGTCCCGAAGGTCGCCGAGACATTATCCTTAAACTGCCCGCTCCGCCGCAGCCTTCTCTCCTCCCGCAGCAGGGCCCCGCGGCTGCCCCTGTTCAGAAGACCCGTTGCGACTCTAGGGAGGACGGCTGGGTGAACATCTGCCGCGCGGAACCTCCATCCCCTTTTCGCCAATCGGACGCTTTTCTAGATGTGTTGGGTTGCGACAGCCATCACCCCACGTGCTCCAAGTGTGCTGGGGGACACAGTCCAACACAGCTCGAAAGGGACCGGGCCGACCCAGGCGGCTTTGCGGGTGAATCGCGTGGAAGGAATCCCTGACCCGCCGGTGCTCAAACAAACCGGAGGAAGGAGGGGCGGAATGGATCGAAAACAGCGAGGGACGGGGAAAGAGGCAGAGACCGGACAGAGAAAGGCGGGCAACACCGCAGGCAGCCCGAGGGCGCGCGCGGGGCTGGGGGAAGGAATCAACCTCCGCCGCCCATTCCCGTCTCTGCTTCGCTCCGGCCCTCTAGTTACACATTCACACCAACTCGGCAGGCCGATCCGGATCGGTCGCGCCTGAACTAAAGTTCTGAGTTCTTCCCCTCCGGCCGGGGCGCGCATTCGCCACTTCCGACCCACCTCCTTAACCCTTCCCTCGGTGAACGTCTCCTTCTCCCGCGCTAGGGCGTTTCCCGGTCGGCTCGGGAGTTTTCAAAGGCTCAACTAACCCCGGTCGCCTGGCTTCCTGCACCCTCGCTGCAAACACAACCTTATAGAGCTTGGAGGCTTTTGGTGGAAGGTCAGCCCCAAAGCAACCACCTTTCCCTCCTTCCCCTGCCCCACGCTCGGGGTGCTTCCACCTGGGCGGCTCCAGATCAAAAGGCATGCACGGCGCAGCTCTTCCAGCTCTTCCGCCTTAACGGAAAACTTTTTTTGTGGAAGGAAGCAAAACGCAAAAGCTCCTGGAAAACATCGGGGACGTTCTAAGCGAAATTCTCCGTTGACACCTGGAAGAAACTTCCCCTCTCCCAAATCACGGATGAGGCAGAATGGCCACCTCTGGAAAGCAGGTTTGGGCCTCGCGTTCCTCGAGGTCTGTATAGGAGAGTACACGGCAGATTTCTCTCCCCTCTAGTGCAACGGGTTATTATGACGCCTTGGCTTCTAACCCCTTCCTCCTCAGTTACCTCAGAAGCCCGGCACTAGGGTTTGGAAGCGGGGGGGGGAGACATAAACAAATAAGACCGAACTTCTGACTTGCTAGGGGGAAAGAAGCGCCACCGCCCTCCTCCACCGACGCCTCCTTTTCCCACCCTCCCCGTCTTTCCTACCCCTCGCAGCTTGCTTCCCCGTCCATCTCTGTTCCCGCCTTACTATTTCCACGGCAAGGAGAATTCCCCTTAGGGAGCGGATGAAGCTGGAAAACTGGTCCATGCACCCCTTGGAGGCGTTGGACGACTCCATGGCAACGGCGGGATGCCCCTCTTTCGAAGGGGGGAAACGTCGAGTTTCTCTCTCTCTCTTTCTCTCTCTCCCCCGACTTCTCTGCAAGCCAGCCTCCTGTCTAGCGCGGGCTCGCCAAACTGGGCGCGGGCGGGGAAGCCTGTGGGCGAGGTGTGGCTGCCGAGCTGGGCACGGCTTGGTGGGTAACAATCGCTGTTTCTTTAAGGGGAGCCGGGGACGGGAGGGCGGGGTG